ATGACTAAACTTCGTCTCTCATACTTTGGACATATTGTCCGGAGGGAACAGTCGCTGGAGAAGGATGTCATGCTGGGTAAGGTGGAGGGTCAGAGAAAATGAGGAAGACCCCTAATGAGATGGATTGGCCAGGTGGCATCATTGATGGACTCAAGTGTGGCAGAGGTAGTGAGGTTGGCCGAGGATCGGACATTGTTTCATTGTGCTGTGCATGGGGTCGCTATGAGTCGGTTCCAACTTGATGGCACCTAACAACAACAACAATAAAGAACAGCCTAGGCATAGAGCAAGCAAGCACATACTAGGGGAGAAAGATGCCATGTGAGGGTCATCTAACAACACAAGGAATCCAGGAATGCCTCAGGATATCGAAAAAGGAAGGAACTGACTTGACCAAGACCTAATGTAGACTTAAAAACTCCAGAATTGCTGAGAAAATAACTTGCTGTTCTTTAAAGCCAAGCATTTGTGGTATTTGTTACATTGGCACTAAGGGACCAGGAAAAGGGTATTTGAGATGTTAGAGAAAACAGGGAGTCAAAATAAGGCCAAATTTTGTGGATGGAGTTACTATTAACTGAGAAGTCCTGGATATGGTGCTGCTGGTTATAACTGCAAAGTCAGCAGTTCAAACTCACCAGCCGCTCCTCGGAAACCCTATACAGGGTCACTATAAGTTGGAACTGACTCCACAGCACTTACCAACGACCAATAACTGAGATAGAAAATACCTCGGGAAGAACAGATTTAGAGAAGATGAGTCAAGAATTCAGATCTGGATGGTAGGTTTGAGATGTCTATTAGAAATTCCAAAGAAGCATGAACAGGCAATATGACTCAGGAGTTTAGAGGAGAGGTACACACTATGGATATAAATTGAAAGTCTACAGATTAGATGTTGTTGTTGTTGTTGTTGTTGTTAGGTGCCATCAACTCAGTATCGACTCATAGCAACCCCATGCACAGCAGAAAGAAACACTGCCCGATCCTGGGCCAGCCTCACTATTGCTGCCACTTGATCAATCCATCTCATTGGGGGTCTTCCTCTTTTTACTTGACCCTCCACCTTACCAAACATGATATCCTTCTTCAGCAACTGGTCCCTCCTGACAATATGTCCGAAGTATGAGAGACAAAGTTTGGCCATCCTGGCCTCCAAGGAACACTCTGGCTGCACTTCTTTCAACACAGATCTGGTGCTTTTTTGGCAGCCCATGGCACTTTCAATATTCTCCTCCAACACCATAACTCAAAATAGCATCAATTCTTCTACAGTCTTCCTTATTCACTGTCCAGCTTTTGCATGCATATGAGGTTATTGAAAATACCATGGCTTGGGTCAAGCGCTCCTTAGTCTTCAAGCTGACATCTTTGCTCTGAAACACTTTAAAGAGGTCTTGTGCAGCAGATTTGCCTAATGCAATACATAGTTTGATTTCTTGACTGCTGCTTCCTTGAGTGTTGATAGTTGATCCAAGAAGAGCAAAGTGCTTGACAACTTCAATCTTTTCTCCCTTGATAAGAATGTTGTTTATTGGTCCAGTGGTGAGGATTTTTATTTTCTTTACACTGAGATGTAATCCATACTGAAGGCTATGCTCTTTGATCTTCATCAGTAAATGTTTTATGTTTCTTCACTTTCAGCAAGCAAGGTTGTATCATATGCATATCTCGGGTTGTTAATGAGTCTTCCTCCAATCTTGATGCCATGTTTTACTTCATATAACCCAGCTTCCCGGATTATTTGCTCACCATACAGGTTGAATGTTGTTGTTGTTAAGTGCCATCGAGTCGGTTCCGACCCATAGCGACCCTGTATAGGGTTTCTGAGGAGCGACTGGTGAGCTTGAACCACCAACCCTGTGGTTCAAACCAACTTTGCTGTCCAGAGCATTAACCACAGCGCCACATTGGTGAAAGGATACAACCTTGTCACACACCTTTCTTAATTTTAAACCATTCAATGTTCCAATGTTCTGTTTGAACAACTGCCTCTTGGTCCACATACAGATTCCTCATGAGCACAATTAAGTGTTCTAGAATACTCATACTTCACAGTGTTGTCCATTGCCTATCATGATCCACACAATCGAAAGCCTTTGCATAGTCAATAAAGCACAGGTAAACATCTTTCTGATATTCTCTGCTTTCAGCCAAGATCCATCGGACATCAGCATGATATCCCTTGTTCCACAGCCTCTTTTGAATCCAGTGTGAACCTCTGGAAGTTCTCTGCCAATGTATGCTTGCAGCCCTTTCTGTAGTACCTTTAGTAAAACTTTACTCGCATGGGCTATCAAAGAGATTGTCTGATGACTTCCACATTCCATTGGGTCACCTCTCTTTGGAATGGGCACAAATACAGATCTCTTCCAATCAGTCGGCCAGATAGTGGTCTTCCAAATTTCTTGGCAGAGATGAGTGAGTGCCTCCTGTGCCATCTCACTTTCTTAAAAGATTTCAATGTTTATTCCATCAATTCCTGGTGCCTTGTTCTTTGCCAATTCCTTCAATGTACCTTGAACTTCCTCCCTTAGTATCATTGGCTCTTGATCATATGCTACCTCTTGAAACAGCTGAACATTAACCATTTCCTTTTGGTACAATGACTCTGTGTATTCCTTCCATCTTTTCTTGATGCCCTCTGCATCATTCAATAATTTGCCCAGAGAATCTTTCAATAACGAAAGTCGAGGCTTGAATTTTTGTTTCAGTTCCCCCAGTTCCTACAGGTCTTCCCTTAGGTACATGGATATTATTCTATCACAGACAGCGTTGTACTTCATGACTGATCTGGATATGTTCTTTTTGACAATGAATGCAACACCATTACTCTTCAATTTGTCATTTCCAGCATAGTAAACCATGT